TAAAGGAACTGAGATTGTTTCCTCTGCAGAGAATCTGGAAAAACCCAGGGGCTCGGTTGTTGTCTTTTAGCCTCTGTCAGGTCTACACGAATAAGATTCTGAGCAGTGGTTCCTTTCCTACTTCAGTCCTGCCTTGTTCCCGCACTTGCAGCCTCCTCTATTTGAGGTTTGGCACTGGGGATTGCACAGCAGAGACATCGTCCTGGTCCTCCCGGAGCCCGCGTTCCAGCTAGACAGACTGGAAATGGATGGGTTGTTCCACGTGTGGAGAATAGCACGGCAAAGACCAAGGGGTGGGACAGCGTGCAGCATGTTCCAGAAACGGAAGTTCAGTCCGACTGGGGCATTGTGTGTGTGTCTGTGTGTCTGTGTGTGTGCATGCCCCTCTCTGGGCCACTGTTTCCTTATTCCTTGTACCGTTCTGACCTCAGAAGGCTGTCACGCAGATCTCAGAGCTCTTGGCTCACTGGTTGGGCTCAGCACTTGCTGGTCATTATCAAGGGCTAATAAATATTAGTCACTGATAATTCTTATTCATAATAGTAATTATTAGTAGGTGAATTAAAAAATAAACCGATGGATGAAGATCGTGCTGTGGCCTGGCAGGATGGACTGCGAGGAGAGGATGGAGTCAGGGACCAGTCAGGTCTGTTGTGAGCTCGGCCAAAATATAACAGGAGGAAAATGGCAGCATTAGCAGCTGACACTTACCAGCCACTTATAAGCTGTGCTATTTGGGGCAATTTCCTCACCTCTTTGAGCTTGAACGTTTTCTTCTGTCAAATGTGGATGATAGGAGGGCACACATCTCAGGTTGCCACGTGGGTTAAATGAGAATAATGCACTTTAAGGGCTTGTCCTCAATAATGGTAAATGACGTCTTTATTATTGCAACCCGGGACTCAGCAGTGTCCTAGGGGCCGTGTGAGTTTGGATCTTCACAACCATTGCTTTGATTTCCACTTGGGAGCAGAGGAGACTAGGACTCAGAGAGGTGGAGTGCTGTGCCCCAAGTCACACAGCTGGCTGAGGCCCGGGCAGAATGAGGGGCAAGTGGGGCTAGAGAGCCATAAGGGCGAACCACTGACCCCTCCTGCCTGTGTTTTCAGTCTCAGGCCTCATTCCTGGCAAGTTTCAAGTCCCTCCGCCACTCCCAGGGAGTGTCTGTTCCCACGCCCTCTGGCCTGCCTCTCCTGCCCTACTCAGCTCTTGGTGTCCTGAGTCTGGAAAGTTCCCCAGCCTGGGAGAGATAAGGGGTGCCTTGCCCAGGCCCCTGGGCAGTGCCTGCCCGCGGCCCCTTTGATCACAGACAGGATGGTTCTGCCAGCCCAGCTGCTGGAGAAGCAGCCGGTGATAGAGGCAGGCCCAGGAAGGGGCAGAGCCTGGTATCAGCCACCTGGAGGGGGCACCTCCTGCCATCACCATAGCAACGGGAGCCCATCCCTGCAAACAGGAAGCTGCTCCTCCACTGATGCTGGGATAGGCGGGTGTGGGGGAGACCCTGCCCCTCTAATCTTCCAGAGGAAGTGGTCCAGAGGGTGGGACCTGGCTTGGGCCGCCAACCTCCTGTCTCCCCGATGAGCTGAGCGTGGGAGTGGGGCACAGCAAGGAAGACCCCTAAACCACGCAGCTTCCCGGGTTCTGACGGAGGGGAGAGGATGGGAAGAACTTCCCCAGACGGCCCAGGCTCAAAACCCCGGGAGCTGTGCAGACTCCTTTCCTAGGAGGCATCCAAGCCAGACACTTCTGAGCTCTGGTCCCCTGCTGCCCAGGAGGCTGGCGATGTCAGGTCCAGGCCCTTGCTCTGATCGGGTGCTCAGGGCTTCACAACACCCCTTCGAGCCCCTAGGCTGCTGAGGGGCCAAGAGAGCCCATCATCCTGGGGTCCTTGCTCTTGCTGGGTAACCTGAGCGAGTCCTCATCTGCTCATCTGTAAAACGGGAATCCAGACCCTTCCTCACTGGGCTGGTGTGAGCGGGCAATGAGACCATGTAGGGAATGTGTCCAGGTCCAACGTATGTGAAAACAGGAACGCAAAAAGATCTCTGCGCCCCTACGTTCATAGCAGCGTCATTCACAACAGCCAAGATGCGGAAGCAACCCAAGTGCCCACCAACGGATGAATGGATAAAGAAGATGTGGTATATATACACACAATGGAATACTACTCAGCCATTAAAAAGACAAAACCATGCCATTTGCGACAACGTGGGTGGACCCTGAGGGCATTTTTTCTGCTAAGCAAGGTAAGTCAGACAGAGAAAGACAAATACTGTATGATCTCACTCATGTCTGGGAGATAAACAAGCACATAGACAAGGAGAACAGATCGGTGGTTACCAGAGGAGAAGGGGATGGGGGGAGGGCAAAAGCGGTAAAGGGGCACATGTGTATGGTGACAGGTGAAAACTAGACTATTGGTGGTGAACGCGATGCAGTCTACACAGAAACTGATACTTAATAATGTACACCTAAACTACACAATGTTATAAACCTATGACCCCAACAAAATAATTTTTTTTAAAAAGAGTAATGCAGTTTACGGTTTAGCACTCGCCCCTCCGGAGCCCTAACCCTGAAGAAACACCGACACCCCCTCGGCCAGCAGCCATGCAGCACTGGGGATGAGGGGCTGGCAGGCTTGAGGGGTGCCCACTGCCGGATGCCAGGCCCTGGGCCTGCTGCCTCCCCTGTTCTCGCTCCCTTCATCCTTCCAACAGCCCTGAAATGCAGGAACATGATCCCCATTTTATCAACAGGGAAACTGAGGCTGGGGCATCACTCTCCGAGCTTGCATTGTGACTTGGGCTTTCTGACATGCTCTGTGAGGCCTGGAGGTTCAGCCCAGCTCCCGTGAAACAACGTGGGGACTCAGAGAGAAATCATCCACTTGGTGGCCCTGTTGGTCCTGGGCAGCCAGGGCAGGTGGGCAGTGACCCATGAAGACCTCTGGTGTCATCCTAGACCTTGGGTCCTGCCCTGTTCCAGCTTTCTCTATTGGCTATGCAAGCTCGAGTGAGTGGGACCAAACCACAGGGCCACACCATCATCCTCTGAGCCCTTCCTTCCTTCAGTCCACAACACAGAGCTTCTAGAATGTGCCAGGTTCTCTGCTGGGGTGATAGGGGTCCAGAGAGGAACAAGATACAGTTGTTCTTTGGAGGAGAGCAAAATCCCATGTGTGTGTGCACGCGCGTGCAGACAGGATGATGTAAAAGATGGGTGACAGGGAAGACGACAGCACTGATGACCCTGATGGTGGGTGGTGCTGGAGCAATGATGGGGGAGACGGTGGTGTCTGTGAGGGTGGTGGTCTTGGAGACCTGTACAAGGCAGCACCAGCCCTCACTCTTCCCCTCCTGCTCTGTCTGGCCACTCCCTCACCTGAGGGCAGCACCTGGCTGGCTCTCGCCCGTGGCAGCTCCCTCAAGGCACCACGCTCTCCCTGTGGGGTCGGGGCCCCTGCACAGCCCTTCATGGGCCTCCGTGAGCCCAGGATCTCAGGATGGCAGGCCAGAGAGGGTGGGTGACTTGGTCAAGGTCACAAGCAAGGTAGTGAGTGACCCAGCACTTCTGGCACCCGGTCCAGACCTGTGAATGCCCAGTCCATCCCTTTCTTGCGTTCCACAAGCGTTTCCTGGGCTGGTGCTCCGTGCTGGGTCCTGTGCCGGCATCTGAGTGGGTACAGGTGCATGGTCCCCCTTTCTACCCTCAGAGATCTCCATCCAGTTGGGGAGGCAGACACCTAAACAGACAGGGACAACAGAGAGATGAGGACAGCAGAGAGGGGTGGGATCCCCTGCCGGGAGGTGTTGGGGACATCTGCTTGAAGCCTTGAAGGATGTGGAGGAGTTCACTGGTTGGGGAGGGGAAGAGAGGGGAGGGCACTTTAGGCAGAAGGCACTGCAGGCGAGAAGGCCTGGAGGTTTGAGAATTTTCCATGTTTTCAGAGAACGGAGGCTGGAGTTGAGGGGGCAGGACCGAGGTTCTCTGTTTCAGAACAAGCAAGTGAGGGGCTGCCCGTCCTGAATGGGGTCCCTTCTGCTCCCTAATTTGCCCCAAGCTCCTCCTAGGAGTCACAGTATCACCTCTCCCCCCAAATAACTAGAATTGTTTGAAAATGCCCAGCAGGAATTCAGCTCAGCAGGTTATACTGGTCAGGGGAAGGAGGCACAGCTGAGCGGAACGAGGGCAGGGCCGAGGGGGTTGGGGGGAGGACTCAGTGGGACTTCCTGGGAGAAGGTGAAAGGTCCCGACCTCAGGCCAGGGCCAGCGCCCCTGTGAGCACTGATCCGGGAGCAGATTACAAGGGAGACTGGAGCCAAATCAGCTTTGAAAAAGAGCCGGTGAGTTTCCCTCCCTGCTCAGCGAGTCACCCGGGGAGGGGTGCGGGGCCAGGATGGAGCACTGGTAAGGGGCTCTGTGCGGGTGTGCATGTGTGCAAGGGTGTGTTTATGTGTATACGGGTATTTGAGGATGCGTTTGTGTGTGAGGGTTTCTGTGTGTGTGTTAGTATACACAAGTTGGGTGCTTTTGTGTCTTGGCTCTTGGCCTCTCTGTTGAGCCATGTTTACGGCGTGGATGTGTGTGTTTGGCCTTTAACACACACACGTGTGTGTGTGTGTGTGTGTGTGTGTGTGTGGTCTGATCTGCCCACCTCTGTCTGCACAAACACATGTCTCTGGATCTATTTCATGTCTATTCCTTTCCTCCTCTTTTCTCTTCCTCTGCCCACCCTGCTTTCAGATCCTCAGCCCCCGCCCCCCGCTGTGTGAGCATTTCTTCCACCCTCCCTCCCTTCCTTCCTCCCTCCCTCCCTTCTTTCCTTCCTCCCTCCCTCCCTTCCTTCCTCCCTCCCTCCCTTCTTTCCTTCCTCCCTCCCTCCCTTCCTTCCTCCCTCCCTCCCTTCTTTCCTGCCTCCCTCCCTCCCTTCCTTCCTCCCTTCCTCCCTCCCTTCTTTCCTTCCTCCCTCCCTCCCTTCCTTCCTTCTTTCCCTCGTTCATCAGTGCGCATTGAGGATCTAAAGTGCAGGCTCTGTTCTAGGTTCCGGGTGTGAATGGGGATGAAGAGGAGAGAAGAGCTTCCTGACCTCCAGGGCAGCACATTCCCGGGGGGGTGAAAGAGACAGTAAACAAGTAAGCAAATTAGTAACCTGCTAGATGGTGCCAGGCGCTCCGGGAAATCTAAATGGGGGCAGGGGGAGGCACTGCGAGCTGGGAGGGCTGCTTCCCTCGGCCGGTCAGGGAGGGCCTCGCTGATAGGATATTTGAGCAGACCTGAGGGATGAGAGGCAGAGGAGGATGTCCCAGGCTGAGGACACAGCAAGTGCAAAGGCCCTGAGGTGAGAGCATGCTTGAGGTGTTCTGGGGACAGCACAGAGGCCAGTATGGCTGGAGTGGAGTGCATGGGGGGAGAGAGGGAGGACAGGAGGCAGCGGAGCTGCGGGGGCCGCAGGATCACGTGGTGTGGGGCTTTGGCTTTTGCTGTGAACAATAGGGGAGCCATTGCAGGACCTGGAGCAGATCACTTGGGAGTAGCGGGGAGGTAGGGAGGCCAGTGAGGGGGATGTCACAAGTCCATTGAGAGGTGACTGTGGTTTGGCAAGGGGGGCAGGGGAGGGGGAAGCGCGTTTCAGAGACATTGATTTTGGCATGATTACTGGACCTCCGGGAACTTGATAACCCAGCCTGGAGTGGGGGACACCAGTGTGGGCGCCATTAGCATCCAGAGAGCCTGAGAGCCCGGCTCACGGGGGGGGCTGCGCCCTGCCTTTGCTCAGTGTGTCCGTGTGTGCACACCCTGATGTGGCCGAAGGATGGAAGCCAAGGCTCCCAGTCACAGGCCTCGCCCGGGGAGGCATGAGGGGTGAGGAGGAAGCAGGCAGTCTGGAGCCGGGGGGCAGTTCTGGGGGTCGATTATGGGCCCATGGGTATCGATGTTGGACACACCTACCTTTGCATCTTGCTGTGACCTCGGACACCCTGTGTCAGCTGCAAGGCTCTGAGCTGTGCCGTCTCCTCTGCAAAGCGGAGATGAGAACAGTGCCTCCTGTGAAGGGCAGCTATGAGGACTGAATGAGACGGTGCACGTACAGAACGAGTCCCCGTTATTATTCTTCTGATCAGCCCCAAGATATGGCTGGAGCCCTTTTGGAGGATTCACTTCCTTCTTCTGGGTGAGTTTTAGGAAAGCGGTATTTCCTAGGTGCCTGGCTCCTCTCCAATTGATAAATGAGGAATCTGAGGCTCAGAGAGGTTAAGTGACTTGCTGGAGGCCACAGTGGAACGGTAAAGCTGACTTTAGAACTGACTCCTCGCTGTTCTACCCCCACGGCTTCGGGCTGCCACTGCGCAGGAAGCTTCAGGCAGGTGGACGGGGTTGAGGTCTGAAGACTGACCCAGGCGCCCAGGAAGCTCTGCCCACGGCTGTGAAGTCTAGGCAGGCGCAGCCTCCTGAGAGCTCCCCGCTCCCCTTCGGCGGAGCCCTGGGTGCGCATTTCATCCAGTTTCATGAGAAGAAATGTTGGCTTCCGGAGAGAAGGTGTGGGGAGACAGTCCCGTGGATCACACGGCCCGAGGCCCACATCCCCTGAGATGGCCTTGGTCTGGACGGGGATGCTGGAGGGGGTCAAAGCTGGACTCCCACCCCACAGAGGGTGTGGTGGCCCCTTGCTCTGTGGTGTATGTGCATCACCTGCATATGTTGTGCACGCGTGTGTGTGTCGTTGGGTGGCAGGGGCAGGTCAGACCGGTGCAGACGAAAGCCTGAGTTGGCAGAGGTGGCTGGGCCATGGCTGGAGGAGCCACGCCAGGCTGGGCTCTCCCTGGGGTCCTTGAACCCTGTGGGAGTGGCTGTGGGAAGGCTCTGTGGTGCGTGGAGAGCAGAGAGGGAGGCGCATGCTGGTGAGTCATCAGCTTCTCCTCCTTTTGATCTCCTCGCTTCCCAGAGAGACTCCCTCCTCCACACCTGGGGGCTGAGTGGAGGCCCGGGAGGGGGTCTTCCAGCTGGCCTGGGCAGCCGGGTTGGGTAACCTTGGGACGCAGGAAGCTTTTTTCTCCTGAGTGGCCTTGCTGGCCCCCCTGTCCCTGTCCACGTCACTGAGGGCCCGCTCCCCCGTACCACAGGTGCAGTGAGGACTCCCAGCCCTGTTGGGTAGGGTCCAGGGCACACCAGGGGCCCTGGGACAGCACTCGCCTCCCTGTCCCTGGTTCTACCTTCATTCTCCCGGGTCAGCGCTCCTATTTCTCTGTCTTTCTCCTTCTGCCTCGACCCACAGGCTTCCTCCTCCTTCCTCCCTGCCTGACACGCCCAGACTCCACGGTGGGTGTTTCGAGGACCTGGGTGCCCCAACAGTTTCAACTCTTTCTCTGGTTCCAAGGGGTGAAGAGGCCCGGCTTGCAGCTGGTCACCAGTGGGCAGGTGCAGAGGCAAAAGAAGAGCTGAGCCAGCTGGAGCTGGGTTTGAGTCCTGGCCCCGTCGCCTCCCAGCTGTGGCCACAGGAAGGTCCTGGAGGAGCACTCAAGCCCTGACTCCCTCCCCCGAAGGCCCGTGAGGGGTGGGCAGCCCTCGGGACATCCAGGTGGCAGCACGTGAGCGAGGCCTGGGGCAGACCCAGGTCAGGGAGGGGACAAGTGCCTTCCTCAGGGCCCAAGTGACAAGTCCACCTCCTCTCTCAGTGGGCAGAAGGGCTGAGCAGCTGCCCGGGCCAGGCCAGAAGAGGGGCAGCCGGAGCCCAGAGTCCCCTGAGTGGGGCAGGGGGGCTGAGAATGGGGCCCGGAGGCCTCAGCTGCAGCCCAGAGGGTGGGGCAGGGACAGGACAGGTTCCCAGAGGCAGTGGGAGTGGCAGGGGCAGGAGTCGGGGATGGGGTGTAGCTGTGTGCAGGGACCCCTGTCCATCCCCCCAGTCCAGGAGCCTGATGGGTTTGGGGGCACCACCTAACAGTGGTCCTTGTGACCATTGCTTTCACCCCTGCTTGTCCTTGACCTTCCTGCTGGAGGCTTAGTGCTTCTGTATTTAAATTCATCCGTTTTCTCCTTTCTGGCTTCGGGGCTTTGAAGCTTGCTCACGGAAGTCTTCTCTCCCCAAGACCATGGAAATCTTCCCTCCGAGTGGTTACGGGCCTCCTCTCTAGGCTCCGCTCCTCTCCGTTCTGTCCATTGACCGTTTTTGTTTGTTCCTGGCCCAATACCTGCGGTCATTATATGTGTACTTATTGTTCTTCACAGCCCTAGACCAGAAGCTCCGTGGGGACAGGGACTCTTGTCTGCTCTGTGCCATGCTATCACCCCAGCGCTTAGCAGGTGCCTGGCGCGTGGGAGGTACGCACTGCCTCCATGTCGAATGTGGCACCAGGATGTGGGCCCAGAACTCCCAGACCCGAGACCGAGGGGTGCGTAGCAGAGAAAAGGTCCACCTCATCTGTCCCACCCCTGCTCCCTCCCCGGATGATTCCCTCCCGTCCAGGAGCCTCTGCTCCACGTGGACAGCCCCCTGCTGCCTGGAATCCCTTCTCTGCGCAGCCCACACACTCCCCGAGCTCTCCACTGCTCTCTCCTTCCTGATGAGGGGCGGCTGGAAGAATGCTGACAGAATCCATCCAAGGAAATCTTGTCGGACGCCTGCGGCGCTTCGAGCTGGATGTAAGGACGGGGGTGATAGGAGGTCGACATGCGCCACTCTGCCCCCATCACTCCATGCAGCCCACTGAGGGCCTCGGCAGGGGCGGGTGCCTGCTGGCCAGGATGCTGGCTGGACACGCGCCTGAAAAGACACAGTTGTATTCCTCACGACTCACGTGTAGTTGGCCCCGAAACGATTGCTCATGAGCTCAGTCGTATCTAAGTAGTCATTAATTTCCATTAGAGTTGCTGGAGAGAGCGGCAGGGCTTCTATTAAGGGATAAGTTTCCAGCCTCAAGCTGCTAATCAATAGAACGAGTGCGTCATTACACACCGCAGAGCTCCGTGAGCTCGTTCGTCACGCCAATAAAACGACGCGGCCCTGACGCAGCGTCGGAGTCAGGGGCTGGCCCTCTGGTCTGCGGCTGTGCAAGCTGGGGCCGATAGCAGGAAGCCCGGAGCACGTTTGCTGAGCGTGCAGAGCAGTGGGGTTGAGGGTCGTGGGGGTGCTGCTGGGAGGCGGCCCACGGGACTCGGGGACTGATCGGATGTGGGTTTGAGGGGGAGAAAGGCGTCAAGGACGACTCACAAATGTCTGGCCTGCACATCTGGGGACAGATGGACAACGATGGCTGTCACAAATCGAAGCCAGAGGACAGGGCTGGCCACACCGCAGAGAGCCAGAGATCAGATCTGCTGGATGGCTTTGTGCAAATGCTGTCACCTCTCTGAGCCTCCGTGTTCTCATCTGTCAGAAAGGATTCAGAATCTCTGCCTCGACAGCACCTCTGCGAGTGAGAGCATGCATTGAAAAGTTCATAACACCGTCAACTTAAGATGCATGCTTTTAATAAATTCTGACTTAAATTGAATTAGCATGGCCCGACTCTTAGGCACTGGGCACAGAGTGGGCAAGGACTCATGTGGCTGTGCAAATTCTGCTTGTATAAGAAACACCTACGAAGTGCCCTTGGTGATGCAGTCACGTCTCAAGAGGGCTTAGACCCTCCCTGCTGGGGTCAGAGCTCCCCCACTGGACTGGGGACACCAGATGCTTTTATACCAGCCCCACTGTGGTTCCTTCTAACCAGCCTGGGGAGGAGTGGCCCTCACAAAGGGTGGCCACAGACAGTCCACGTTCACATCAATGTAAGGAATGGAAAACTGGCCCAGGCCTCAGGACCTACTGGTTCATTCAATTACTCACTCACTTATTCGTTCACTCATTCTTCTAGTCACTCATTCATTCATTCACTCCTCCATTTATTCACTCTAGTTAGGCAGGACGTGAAAAACAAGAACAGAGACAAATAAAACTAGAATAAATTGCCTATGTGTTAAGAAGAAAACCAACAAGGGGCTGAGATAGCAAATGACAGGGTCCCCACTTTGGGTGAGGTCGTCAGGAAAGTCGGAGGTGGTGACAACCCAGCTGAGACCTGGACCATGAACAGGAGGGCTCCGCAGGAAGCGGGGAGGGCAGGAACTCTGGGAAGGGGGAAGAGCACTGGCCAAGGCCCTGAGGTGGGAAAAGCTCAGTGTACCTGAGAACTGAAGTGACAGGGGCTAGAGTGGTGAGATGGCGCTGCGGAGGGGGCCTGAGCCCGATCTGCAGGAGGGGAGACTGGAGGACGGGGCAGGCTTGAGGTGAATGGGACGGGTCACCCCCTCTGCACACCTGCGGAGGCCCCAGAGCCAGCCCCTTCCTTGGGTCCTGGGTAGAGAGGACAGGGCCACCTGGGAATCCGGAAGCCTCTGCCCCAGCCCCCAGGCCTCCAGATGGGACCCTCCAGCTGGCCTGGGCACGGGACCCTGCAGGGCTTGGGTGAAGCGAGACCTACCAGCGGCAGCTCCAGTCTGCCCTTCCCGAATGCCCTTCCAAAACAGCTGGGTGACACCAGAACCTCGAAATCCTATTGGGGCAGCTGGAGGCAAACACAGCAGTGGCGGATCATACCACGCAGAGAGGGCTCATGTGCGAGGGGCCAGAGGTCCCGCATGCCCTGCCAAAGGCGCAGTCAGGAAAATTAAGACAGAAGTCCCACCTCAGCCCCACAACCCAAATATTTCATAAGAACCCTCCCTTCCCCTTCTCTTTTTGTCAAGTGAAGGATCCACGTGGCCTTTCTACTTGTCACCTGGCCAAGAATAATTTGTGGCAGGAAAGTTTGAGCATTTGTAAAAATAAAATAAAAATGTAAAAAAAAGAGAGAGAGAGCGTGCGCACTTGAGTGTATGTTTGTGTGAAACTAAACAGAGGGAAAGTTATTTAGGTGGTAAAACGTCTCCGAGTTTCCCTCCGGCCCCCTGCGCCCTGACACCCGGCCCCCTCCCCAAGTGTTGAAATTGAGATTGCTCGGGTATTTGTTTTGCTAATCTCCCGCCAGGGCCAAGGGGCTGCAGGCTGGGTTTCTTCTTGTTGGCGTGGGGGGGGGGCTCGGCTGCCAAACGAGTTCCACCATCACCCAGCCCAGGGCCAGGCTCTGTGCACCTGTTCCCTGCCTGTCTGGACACTGGTGGGGCTGCAGGAGGGTGTCTGCCCTCCTGAGAGAGTGCAGCTTTGCCTGCCTGAGACCCCCAGCAACTCGAGGCTATCAAAGATGAGGAGTCACTCCCCATAACCTCCTGGAGTCATGGAGGTCTGGCCTGCACCCCTGGGTGCTGCCGAGGCCTCATGGGAGTGCCAGACTCCAGGTGGGGTCTGGTGCAGTGGTTAGGAGAAGCAGCTAGAGGGGTCACCCAGGTTCGAGTCCTAGCTCAGCCATTTGCCGATTGCATGAATGACTTCACCTCCCTGTGCCTCAGTTTCTCATCTGTCAAATGGGGACAATGATAATGGCTACCTCGTAATATGGATGGGAGAATTGAAGGAGCTAACACAGGGAAGGGTTAGAATTCTGCCCGGCACACAGTAGCTGCTTGGTAAAGTGAGTGCTTCCTCCTGAGGGGCCTCAAGGAGCACTGGGGGCAGAGAGGACGGCATTTTGTTTCTCGGGGGCTTGTTCCTCTCTCTGTAAAATGGGCACAATGGCTCTGCCCACCTCATAGGGTTGTTGATGAGGATGAAGTGAGCTAAATGAGCAAAATCCTTAGGACAGGGTCGGGTACATGGCTAGTGCTCCTTAAGCATCTGCAGCACTGTTGTGTCCTTACTCTGCTCTGTCTGTCATAAAGTTTCCTTTTGCTTCAACAAGGAAGGAAGGGACAAGCGCTCAGCAGACACTTGCCCCCGGCCGTGCCCTGCACCGGGCACTGCTCCACCAGCGACCTTGCTGCATGCCCATGATACTTTTCCACACAGATCTTATTGGCCCCCTTTTGCAGGTGAAGAGACTGAGGCTTGAGTGACTCAGCAGGCTAATGGCAGAGCCGGGAGTGGAGCCCAGGCTTTTCCGATGCTAGCTAGGAGCTTTCTTTTAAGGCTGAGCCCTGCATGGGTTGGACCAGACCAGGAGGAGGGGACAGATGAGGACAGTGACAATGGTAACACGTTTGAGTGCTTGTGTGGTGGTTGCTGTGTGAAGCACATTATATACATTATCGCATTGGGCTCTCCCTATGATCCTGTGAGGTAGGTTTATTGGCCCCACTAGACAGATAAGGAAACTGAGGCACAAGAAGGTAGGAAGTAGTGTCCATGGACCCTGAGCCTCCTGGCAGCATCTGCCTTTGACTGCTCTGCACCACCAGCAAAGAAGGCAGCGCTTGGCGCCTGGCACTGGGTAGATGCCCCAAACACAGCTGTTCTGTTCCCTTTTGTGCATCTTGTCCCCACCCGTTTTCCCAGAGGGGTCAGACCATGAGAGCTGAGAGGGCAAACTCAAAGCCCAGCTCACTGATTGTACAGATGGGGAAACTGAGTCCAAGATGGGGGAAGGGACTTACCTAAGGGCAGGCAGACAAAACAAAATCTGATGGTGAGCGGAGGCCAGATGGCTCCCTGGGGTCACAGTTGGGGAGGGCAGGGAGCGAGGAGGGGCAGCCCAGCCAGGGCAGAGTCTGGGAAGAGGACGGGCACCCTGAGCTCCCCCACCTGCAGTCACAGCTTGGCTGCCCGCCCCCCAGATCTCAGCCTTTCCCGCCCCTCAGCCCCATTCATGCCTCCCCACACCCCCCATCCCTCCCACGTGGGGAACCCGGGGTGAGCCCCTTCCTCTCGAGGGGGTGTCGGGAAAGTGAGGGACAGTGGCACCCACTCCCCCTGCAGGTGTGAGGACAGACGAGGTAATGCATGCGAAAGACCAAAACTCGACAGAAACAGGAGTTGTTGCTATTTTGATTATTACTCCATCAGATAACTGGTTGGACTGCATTTTTCTCCAGTTGCCCCCGGGGCCCTGTAGAAACAGCTTCACACTGTACTGGAAATTGCTGAGGATGCAATCAGGAAACCTGGGTTCTACCCCGGCTCCCCGTGACTTGAGCGGCGCTTTGGACAAGGTCCTGTCCCTGTCCCTCTCTTGGTCTCTGTCCCCTATCTGGGCGACACAGAGTGGCTCAGAGGTTCTGTCTTGGTCTCTGGAGCTTTGTAGATGGCAGCTCCTGGCCTTGTGGGGTGTGGGGAGGCCCCCCTGAAGCAACGGGGAAGGGGACCAGGCTGGGATGGGTCCCTGGCAGCCCCCCCGGGCGCCTGAGCCAGTTGGCTTCCTGGGTCTGACCGTGGACGTGAGTCCCTCCCTCCCCTCCACAACATTTTGGGGAAGCAGAGTTGGCCCTTCCCAGGGCCCCGTGATGGTGATAAGCGTCAGCGTGGGAGGAGCCCAGTCAGCGGGACTGAGGCTGAACTGGTCCTCGAGGCTGCAGGCGGAGGAGGCTGGGTGAAGGCGGCAAGTGCCTTTCCAGGCCAGGGATCCGAGCTGAAGGTGGACGCCTGCAGGGGCCGGAGACGGAGTGTGCACACCGCCACCTAGGCCCCGAGGAGGGCAGCGCAGCCCCAGCTGGGCTCCAGGGCAGCTGCCGCCCTCCACACCTGGAGCACCTACTGTGCGCCCTGCCTGTGCTGGGCCTGAGGACAGAGTGTGAGGTTAACATGACCCGCCACCCCTCTCTTCAGGGTGTTCACAGCATGGACTACGGCCGACCCCCTGGAGTAGGACTGCCTTGCTTCCTGGCCTCTGCTTTCTCACTTACCGGCTGGCTGTGCGACCTCGGGCAAGAGACTTAACCTCTCTGAGCCCGTCTTGCACGGTTGCTGAGAGCCTGAAGTGGGATATTGCCTGTTCCCAGCACAGGATCTGGTGCACAGTGAGTTTTCAGTGGCCGGTTGTCCCCTTTCTCTTTCCTCTACAGTGAAAGTCATAGGATGCTAGGAGAGCACTGGAAGAGAAGCAGCTTACTACTTGGGGGAGTCAGGGAAGGCTCACATTGAAGAGAGGGTACTGGAGGAGGGTTTTGAGGAATGAACAAGAGTTCCCTAGGCATGCCAGAGCTCTGTGAAGGCAGGAACCATATATGCCCTAGATTATCCATTTTCCCAATGCTGGTATATAGTAGGAGCTCAATAAACGTTTGCTGGATGGATGGATGGCATTCCAGGATGCGCAGAGGTGTGGAGGCATGCCTGCTCTGTGGGACAAGCCACTTGGTCTACGGAAGGCCATTATATGTGTGAGTTCACCTGACTATGGCCCCTGGGGGGCCTTTCCTTTACTGTCCCTACATCCCAGCCACCGCCTGGCCCAGGGGACCAGGTCCTGGGTTCGATGCTCAAACGGATGGAAGGCTGCCCTTTTGGACTGTCAAAATCCTTGTTTGCGGTCAGATGTGTGCACGTGTGTGTGCGTGCGTGTGTGCACGTGTGTGTTGTGGGGGCTGCCTTCCCACTATCCTCCCTGCTCTTCCCAAGGACCCAAGGACAAAGTCCACGCAC